GGCAGAGGACATACACCTGTATGGAGGTGCTGGCTCGCCACCTGCACCACGCACACCTGGTCAACCCAGCACTACCAGATGGGGTGCACAGCCTGTACAAGGCTGCTGGCCCATCAAGGCGCATGCCAGGCACATCCCATGCACATACCCTCCCTGCCCAGCCTACTTTTGACACATTACAGCCACACAGCGCAATACAAATTTGCATCCATTTGTGAACCCCGTTGATTTACCCCGTGAAAAGTCGCACCTGTATCAAGCGGTGATCCATAAGCGCCACCGCCCTGAATGATCTCACCAGCGACGTTTCCTTGCAACGTCTCCTGCAGCTGTCGTACACCAGCAGCGCCGGTACGGTCGTGCAGGAATGTACTCCGCAGTACGCCAGCGACTTCCGGATCCGTAGGACCGATTGCGGACTGCAGCAGTGCCTCTGGTACTCGTGCGACACATCCCATACGCTCATACTCCTGTAGAGCTTCTTCATCCACCGCACCTTCATCCTCGTCATTATGCTGAAGGAAACGCACCCAGGCGACGATGACGTTGCCTCGAACTTTCAGGCCTGGTGCACGGCGGACGCGATCCAGCAAGTCCTGTCGGTCTCGGACTTGATCCACGCACACCACCGTGAAGGCGCCTGCGAAATCCGCAACGCGCGCGGGCAGCTGGCCTCGTAGCATATTGGGGTCGGGGTTTACGACTGCGATGCCATGTGACTGAACGGCACACGGCAACACCTCGGGGGGGCGGCCCGCAAGATGCACAATCAGTAGCTGCTGCATGAGATGGCCCCGGCCCAACAGCTGACTCTCCACAAACGTGGGTGCAGGCAATGGGTCGCCCAGGTGATTTGTAGACGGCACGTCGCCTGGATCGATTCGCGCCAGAGCCGCTTCAGGCACTCGGCGTGCTGCAACGAGAGTGGTGACAGGCGGGCAGCGGTTAGGCAGGGTTTAATGACAACGTGTATGACCCAGATGGGGCATCTCGCCCATACAAATCAGGCGGCCCGACGGATCAAAGGTGCACAACAGCATGAGCAAACGGAAAAAGGACAGCACATGTAGACGGGCCAAAGAAGTTGCTCACCCGTCAGTGCCTTCTCACAAGAGGTGCAGATAGTGAATCGGTCAGGGCCAGCATCATCACGGAACATGGTCCGGTTTGGCAAGTCCGCATCAAGGCGCATGCAGAGGCACCTCCACACTCCGCGGATCCTTGAGGCAAGGTCGTGGCTGCACCCTTGGTGGGTATGGCTGCAATTCCGGTGGCACCTGCACCGGGGCTGTGTCCTGTGCAGTACCTGCCGGTGAATCCGGCTCATTAGCTGTAGCAGCTGACCGCTGAAAAGGTCTCTCGAGTTGCTGGCGGTCGCGCTCTGCGCGTATTTATAGCACCGTATTGTGTACCGGCTGCTACATTCCCCCCCCTTTGAAGGGAACCGTCCCGGGCCCTTAGAGCCTCGTATACCGCCAGCCTGTGCCTACCTTCGCCTACCCTCGGGCAGTGGGTAATTACTCCACGTCACGTCATGTGCCGGCTCACATGCGCCTAGCCGTCTTCAGATTTTTCAGGCACAGAGACAGTCCAGTCGGTTCAGCTACTTTATAGTTTGTGCGATATTCGCTTTCTGAGTCGCCACACCCGAAATACCACTCGAACGTGATCGGTGGGGGTTGAACCGACGACTTCAGGATCGTGAATTTTCACGAGGTCTCGATACCAAATGTAGCAGCTGACCGCTGAAAAGGTCTCTCGAGTTGCTGGCGGTCGCGCTCTGCGCGTATTTATAGCACCGTATTGTGTACCGGCTGCTACATTAGCGCCATGACCTGCACCATCACTGTCAACCGCCAACACATCTTCATCCATGAATGCCGCTGGATCGGCGTCAGCGCCGGCGTCAGCACTACTGCCACGCTCGGATCTGCTGATACGATACCGTGCTGGTAAAACCGGATCCGGTGGTGGTGGTGCAGCACCTTGGGCGGTGCAGGGCATGCGCCGCCAAGCCAGGGTACGCGCATGACGCGGTACGGCAGCAGTGCACATGATGTCAGCACGTAGGATATCAACGTTGGGGATGTCCACCCAAGCATGAAGCGCCGACTGGTCTTCAGAACACTGCTCCGAGCAGATGGCACACACCCGTGAAGGCATGCGGCGACGCAGCGCGGCGGCCATGCTGCTAGCAAGCTGCAGGTGTGTCTCGTATGGTACCTGCTGCTCCACCGGAAGTTGACCGCCAGGCAAATCCTGCACGCGCCCTTCCGGAATCACCTTCAGGAAATCAGGCAGTGCAGGCCGGTGGCCTTCGTGCAAGCAGCGAAACCGCATGAGGTCCCGTAAACGCTCAAGCAAGCTGGCCTGCGGAAGCTGTATTGCATGCACCTGATCACGGGCCTGTGCGTGTGCAGCAGTGTTATGCTGCTGTTCCACAGCCCTGTGCTCCGGGTCTTGGCGGCGCTGTTGCTCTGCAGCCCTGCGCTCCGGGTTTTGGCGGCGCAGTTGCTCCGCAGCCCTGTACTCCGGGTCTTGACGCGCAGCAGCTCGTGCAGCGGTGTTCCGCTGCTGCTCCGCAGCCCTGTACTCCGGGTCTTGACGGGCAGCAGCTCGTGCAGCGGTATTCCGCTGCTGCTCCGCAGCCCTGTACTCCGGGTTTTGACGGGCAGCAGCTTGTGCAGTGATGTTCTGCTGCTGCTCCGCAGCCCTGTAGTCCAGGTCTTGACGGGCAGCAGCTCGTGCAGCCGTGTCCCGTTGTTGTTCTGCAGCCCTGCGCCCCGGATCCAGATGAGCATCCCGCATCCGGGCTGCATCTGCGCTGAGGTGCGTGTTCGACACTCTTGTCCCTCTAAAATGAAACCCGCCGCCCAGTGTACCCAGGCGCTCACGACTGCGTGTCCCAGTCTGCTGGGGTGAATCATTCCGTCGGTCCACCATAACTGATGGAAGCTGTTTCCGGTCGTAATACCACCTGTGGAGACAAGTAATCCGTGTGCGATATATATGCAATACAATCCTACAGTAGCGAACAGACTCCTGTAAGGAGCCCAGCTTCGCAAAAGGCCGTCAACTTACGTTGGCGGTGCCACCGACTAGTTTACAGCCGCCAACTTTCGTGTGATTCAGTGCTGAGCCGTAGTACTGTACATGAAGAGAAATAAAGCAAAAGTGTATGTCTGCAATGCAATCCTACTGTAGCGAGCTGATGGCCGTGGACAAGTTCATTTCACAAAAGGCCGTACAGTTTACACGGACAACGTTGGACAACCGCAGATGCACACTTCGGCGCGCTCCTCGTCCATCGCTGAATTGTGCGTTGAACCGTGCATCGATTTGTGTAATAATTGTGCGGTTCGGTGCGCGTTGAATTGTGTGTTGAATTGCGCATCGAATTGCGCGTTCAACTGCATGCTCTGGTGCGCGTTGAATTGCGCGTTGAATTGCACGTTTAATTGCATGTCGAGTTGTGTGGTGGGTTGCCCGTTAAAACGCGCGAGTCGACGCATGTCAAATTGCGCAGTGCGGTGCAGTGCGGTGCGGTGCGCTGCATAACGAAAAGAAAAAAAATGCGACGACGACGGGAAGCCACCGGCGAGCTGGACTCCCGCGGCGACGAAGCTAGCGCTCCCGAACAAAAAAAACTAAAGAAAGACGCGCGGGCGCCGGGATCGAGCCGGCGACCGCGGCTCCCACACAGCGACGGAGCTAGCGGGCACCACGAAGCGGTGCGCGGCGATGCTCCGGAGCGCATTGCGCGGGCCCAGGTGTGGTGCGGTGCGATGCGGTGTGCTGCGGCGCGGTGCGGTGCGGTGCGAAAAAACGAAAAAAAGCGACGACGACAGGACGCGAACCGGCGACCGCGACTCCCAAGCGGCGACGGAGCTAGCGAAAACGACGCAGCTCCGAAACCGCGGACAAAAAGGCGAAAAACGGCAAGTTACCAAATGTCATCCCGGACGGACACGCGGACGCCCCCCGCAGCCTAAGGTCTCCGTCCCGACGACTAGACGCGGGCTGCATCGCCCGCGAGGGGGCCGTAGTCCCCCGGCTGGGCGGCACGAGTCCGACGTAGTGTGGCTTAGTATGTTTGAGTAATGCGCTGACACATATAGATGCGGTGCAGTCCATGCGGTGCAGTGCGGTGCACCGAAGGAAGGAAGGCCAAAAAAGCGGTGAACACTTACTGTGCGTGAGTATGGAGACCTTGCAGGAAATGTTGTATTTAACGCCATCCAGTGGCGAGGGTCCTGCATGGAAGCGGCCACCGCCACCGCCGCCACCACTGCCCACCACCGCCGCCACCGCCACCACCACCGCCACCGCCGCCACCACCGCCACCCCCACCGCCACCGCCACCGCCACCGCCACCACCGCCACTGCCACCACCGCCACCACCGCCACCACCGCCGCCACCGCCGCCACCGCCACCGCCGCCACCGCCACCACCGCCACCGCCACCACCGCCACCACCGCCACCACCGCTTTGCAACGTGGACTGACCTAATATCGTGTAGGACGTGCAGACGAGGATGGCGATGAATAGCCATCGATGGTGATGAACAACCGTTGATGTGCCGAGATGTTGTCGTGGGATCGAGCCGGCGACTGCGGCTCTTACACGGTGACAGAGATAGCATGATGATACAGCACGATGAAGCACGACGAGCCGAGACATGGCTAGTGGGGTGCGCGGTCTCAATGGAAATAAAAAAAACGCGGTACACGACCCAGCGAACACGACCCAGCATCACACTTCGGTGCGCATTGTGATTCTATTCCTTGCTAATCCTTGCTATCGTTTCTACTCACTGCTATTCGTCGTTTCTATTCATTGCTACTGCTTTGCAACGTGGACTGACCTTGTATCGTGTAGGATGTGCAGACGAGGATGGCGATGAATAGCCATCGATGGCGATGAACAACCATTGATATGCCGAGATATTATCGTCTGGCGAAAATCGGTTAGCAAGCCAATGCATGTAAAGAGGCCAGCTTCGCGAAATACCGCGCAGCTTATGTCGGCAGCGCAACTAGTCTACAACCGCCAGCTTTAAAGCAAACATATCTGAAAATAAGTAAACCGGATGCGTATATATGCGGTGCAATTATATTGTAGCGAGCCAACGTCCATGAACAAAACAGCTTCACAAAATGCCGTACAGCCTACACGGACAACGTTGGACAAGCACTGCACAGTTCAGTGCGCGTCAAATTGCGTGGTTCGGTGTACGTTAAATTGTGCGTTGAATTGCATGTTTAATTGCATGTCGAGTTGTGTGGTGGGTTGCGCGTTAAAATGCGCGAGTCGGCGCATGTCAAATTGCGCAGTGCGGTGCAGCCAATGTTTTGCGATTTGCACGTTAAATCGTGGTGCGGTGCGGTGAGGTGCAGTGCTGTGCGGTGCGGTAAGCGGTCCCGAACGAAAAAACAAAAACAACTCATGCACCGGGATCGAGCCGGCGACTGTGGTTCCCACTAAGTGTCGGAGCTAGCGCACACCACAAGCGGTGAGCGCCAATGCTCCGGGGCGCATTGCGCGGGTCCAGGTGTGGTGCGGTGCGATGCACTGCCACACGCAGTGTGGCGCGGTGCGGTGCAACGCGGTGCAGTGCGGTGCGGCGCGGACACCGAAGCGGTGCACGGCGATGCTCGGGGGCGCATTGCGCGGGCCCAGGCGTGGAGCAGTGCAGTCCGGGACGACGCGGTGTGCGGTGCACGGTCCAGAACGAAAAGAAATGAACAATAAACGATGACGACGCGAAAAACGAACCACGCGACGATGAAGGCAGCGCTCCCGAACGAAAAATAGAAGAAAAAAACGTGCGGGCGCCGAGCGACGAAGCACATAAAAAAGGACACATCGACACGCCGGCGCCGGGGTCGAACCGGCGACCGTGGCTTCCACTAGACATCGGAGCTAGCGTGCCCGACGAAGCAGCGCACGGCCATGCTCCGGGACGCCTTCCGCGGGGACAGGTGTGGTGCGGCGCGGCGCGGGGCGCCAAACCGAACGAAGGAAGAAGACGAAAAAAGCGGCGACGGCGGGGCGCGAACCGGCGACCGCGGCTCCCACGCGGCGACGGAGCTAGCCTAAAAGGCGCGGCTCCGAAACCGCGGACGACACCCCGAAAAACGCGAAAACAGCAAGCGGCCACCCGGCCGGCCGGACGGACGGACGGTCAGACGGACTAGAGCGCGCTGTTCGCGCGAGTGGGCCGTAGCTCCTGTGCTGGCTGATGGCTGATTCCTGCATTGCGCGGACCAGTATGTGTCGTGCTGCGGAGGTACGGCCCACTTGCGCGAACAGCGCGCTTTAGCTTACACACGGCTACTTACACAAGAGATTGCGGAGTCTAGCACGCGGATCTATCCTGTGAAGCGCTCGCGCGGGAGTCGAACCCGCAGGGGGCTCCACACATTGGTGGGCGGCTCCCCATTCCTGCCCGTAGGGAGCGAGCGTGTCGTCCGGAGTGTCCCCCTTACTCCGGACGCTGTCATTTAACGCCGTACAGTGGCGGGTCGCGGTTTCAACTCAACTCAACTCAAGTCAACTCAACTAGTCCTGGACCGGGCGGGTCCACCGCGATTCCAGCTGTCGCGCATGCTCGAACTCGGCTGTATAGCGCTGCTCCGTCTCGCGCGCTGCCTGCTTCAGCAGGCGCAGGTTGGCGGCCAGGTCCGGCTCGAGGTTAGTGGCGCTGAGGAACTGCTTGATTATCCTCTTGCGCTCATGCGGTGTAATGTAGAGCGGCCGGAGCAGATGGACGTGGTCCAGCGTCTTGAAGCGGGTCAGCAGCACATACAGGGTGGCGCGCTTGATGCCGTTGGGTGGGACAGCGAGATCCACCAGCCAGCACTCGTCTTTGAAGCTGCGGCCTTGCACGAAGTAATCGGTGACCGCCTGGCGGTCGCCGAGCGGCACGTTGAGGCGCCGGATCTGCTTTGTGATGGTGCCATACCCGGCGGCAGGCATCTCCACCTCGGCAATGCAAGACGCCCGGGGTGACAGGATGAAGGCACCACCCCTGCTGGCGTAGTCTCCAAGGCCCTGCAGCACGGTGCCGGGGATGTGGCCGCTTATAGGCCACACAATGACGGCCGCTGGAAGGTACTTGAGCCGGCGGTAGGGGCCACGGCCGTCATCGGCTGGCTCGCGGCCATCCTCAAGCAGGCCGCAGGCTTCCACCTCGTTGTTGTGGCTCGCTCCGGCATCGGCAGCTGTCGTATCAAGGAGGATGTATCGGGCGCCATGGTAGTACCACGTGTCGGCGGTGGTGTGGCCAAACTCGTGATCCTTGATCCGCATCGCAACTGCTTTCTCCACGTGTGTCAGGGCCGGTTCCACAGCAGCACCGCGCTTCTGGACAGGGACGTGATCCGCATTCCACACCACAAGGCGCTGATTCTTGCGCTGTGCCTCCAGCATGATGAGCCGGGTATTGAGTGTGTGGCGTGGTTCGTTCCTCTGCAGCACGACGCGCGGCTCGAGGTGTGCCAGGTCGGCCAAGTCGACGACGGCGCGGCTGTTAAGGTCATCGACCATCTCGGCTATGCGCTGCTCGGTGGCTGGCTCACCGCCAAACATAGAGGCATACTCTGTCAGGCGACGACCAGAGGGGCTGCTGTCCTGGCGCTGCTGCTTCTCCAGCAAGAAGACCGTTTTAGCCAGGGATCGGTAAACCCGGAAGCCCTCAAGTATGCAGCTCTGCATCTGTGGGACGGCCCGGGGCCGGCGTGCTGCTGCTTCGGGTTGCTGCTGACCGCCTTGAGATCCAGCGGCAGCCTCATTAGGGTCGTCATCGTTGTCCTCCTCTGCGTGCAGAGGTTGCGCGGTTGGGACAGAGGGCGAGAACTGAGGGTTGCATTCCACAGCAGCAGCGTACTTGTAGAGGGGCGGGCCACCTGGCTTCGGGTGCTGGAACTCGTCGCCCGTGTTGGCGCTGGGACGGCCGCTGAAGATGGTGGCGGCGGGGTGGTCGCCGGCGAGATGCGGTGGCGGCAACAGGTGACGAGTGCATGACTGGTTGCATGCACCCAGGTGGTCCAGGCTGTTCATGCCGATCTCGTCAATGATGAGTGCACCATCGCCGACATTCCGATGCACCTGTAGGCTGGCTGCACTGCCTTTCCTGACGCTGTCCGCTCGGTTGCTGCCAGCAGATAGGGCGAACATGGCGTGGGTAGAGAGGCTGCGATGCACCGGCGTGCTGAAGGCAGTTGCAGCAGCCCATGAGTAGGCGCAGGTGGCCGCCCAGTGCGGACAGCCATGCTGGAAGGTGTACCACAGGAGCGCTTGTACGAACTGGCTCTTTCCGGTACCGGGCTTGCCCTCCACAAGCATCTGCGGCGGGTCGCCAGGGTTAGGCTCATCGCGATGATCGAAGTACCGAGCCATGAGCATGAAGGGCACGGCCTGGTGGGGGGCAAGCGTGAACAGCTCGATGGTGTCGTCGATGCTGGGCGGCTGGGGGAGGTGCACATAGATGGGCATGCAAGCCTGTTCAGTCCGCTCAGGAGTGCCAGGCATGCGCAGGATGGCGACCAGGGGTCCGCTGGTGGGGCGGTGCAGCTCGACACGAGGGGTGTCCATCTCAGGTGCGGCCGTCAGTCCCGTGTGGGCACCCCCATCTGCCTCAACAGTGCCGGCTGCTGCTGCAACGAGATACCGCTTCAGACGCTTGGTCGCTTCAGTCAGGAGGGGCAGGTCCGCTGGCGTGATCCGACGGCTGAAACGATCGCTGCGTGCACCATGGCCGTCCACTAGGGCCGGGGCTCGGCAGCGTCGTGCTGCATCATAGGCATACACGCCAGCAGCGTTGGTGCAGTCAAACAGGTCCGTAAGAGCGACGGCGGCGAGGTCGGTGCCAGCCGTCGGATACTCCTGACCTGGGATGTACACGAAGTGCTCCAGCTGGTCCTCGGCAGGCGGCTGTGTTTCAGGATCAGGCCTAAGATGCCCGCGGATGCCGTCATCGATATCTCCATCCGAAGTGCTCGTGCTGTCACCTTCAGGCAGCACGGCTGCTGCCGCTGCCGCACGCTGCTGGCGCCGCCGCTGGTTGTACTCCGCCTGACGGCGGGCTTTCCCAGTGTGGTCCTCTTCGATGTTGTCCAGCAGCACCGATGCGTATGCTTGGTACGAGCGACCTGCCTCGGTAGTGCCCAGCTCTGCCCACCAGGTGTCGTAGGCTTCCTTTACAGTCAGTCCGGGGGGGATGGGCTGACCCCGGTGAGCTTTGAAAGTACCCAGGACAAACGCGTAGTACTGCGCCATGCCCGCAGCAGAGGTGCCAGGGCGGGGCCGGCGGGGAAGAGAGCCTCCAAGCTGTACGTATCGCGGCCGCGGCAGGCGGATGTGGACATGTGTTTTGTAGAGCGGATGCGTGCTGTGGAAGGCCACCAGGCGGGGCAGCTCCGTGGCTGTCTGAGACGTTGGCTGGTCGAGTGTCGCTGCAGCTGTAGGAGCAGGTGGCTCAGGAGGAGGGGCCGGGGCTGCAGTCGGCAGAGGCACAGGGGCAGGCACAGGGGCGGTTATGGGTGCGGCTGGGGTAGTGCGCTTGCGGCGTCGAACTGCTACCGGGATCTGTAGACCCAATCGCTCTCGGTGCGGGTGCTGAGCTGGCGGCACACGTCGGACCTCATAGTTGGAGGCTATGTTGTACACGCTGCAGTCCAGGCCGCTGAGTTCTTCCCCCCGCAGCATGTAGTTCTGCACGGCGTTGGTCACCGTGTAGCCCTCCTGCTCCTCAGCCTCCACCAGTACTGCCGCTGTGGTCGCCGCCTCAGGAGATTGCTCGGCGCCCGCAGATAGCGCCGTGAACGCGTCTACCTGCAGGTATGCGCACTCGAACATCGCCTCGAAGGTGGAATGACCGTCCAGCTTCATGGCGACAAGCGCCATACCAGCCGTAATGGAAGCGGTCATGCGATGCACGGTGGCACACATGTTGCCAAACGCAGTGGGCCCACTGGCACCCGGATTCGGCGTCCTTCCAGCTAGCAGGAAATCCTGCACTCGGGTAAGAGCGTTGCATGTCAGCTGCGCCTGGCTGTCGTTGATGCTCTTGCCAGTGTACTTCGTGCTGTAGTAGGCAGCGTCGTGGGCGCGGTCAGCAGCAGGCTGCAGCAGCACACAGTCCCCCCGTTCATCTTCAGGGCGGGCCAGTTGCGCTGCTGCCTCTGCAGTGTAGACGCGATCCACCTCGCACGCCAGAGTAAACAGCTGGTTGCACCCAAACGCCAGCGCTGCAGCTGGCATGTGTGGTACAATGTTCAGGCCCAATCGCGGCAGAAGGAAGAGGCCGCCGGTGCCAATCCACTGGAAGGCGCTGCGCAGGACACGAGGGAATGCCATGCCACAGCTATCATCTGTGCCACGGCAGCCGTGTCGCTTGCACGTGTCATTATGTGTATGAGTAAGCGTGCTGTGAATGACGGCCGCATGGTGCGCACGGCAAGCAGCGTGCCGGGGAGGCGGCGGGAGTCCGCCACCTGCACAGCCGGCGAGCCTGCCAAAATCGTACGCTGCAGGCGGGCAGGACTTGTCAACGGGCGGAGGCGCACGGCCATGCTGCTGGGCCTCTTCGACGGTCATGTCCATGACGTAGTGTTCTGCACCGCGGGTGAAAGGGTCATAGTACGGCGAGGGATACCACATGGCGCACAGGGTGTATGCCAGGGCCAGCGCTCGGCAGTTGGGTCCACTGAACAGCGCCTGAAGGCGCTCGACTGCAAACGTGGCCACATGCGCAACACCGTGGATGTGCAGGGCGAGGCGGCCGCTCTGCTCCACCTTGACCGCCACCTCAAACGTGAGCCCGCAGAAGCAGCGCGGGTTCGTCTGCTGCATGGCGCCCGGCGCGAAGCCGAAGAGCTCCTCCACCAGAACCTCCTTGGTGGCCACCAGCAGGGCGGCGCAACTGTACGGGTCATCCTTCACACGCCGCCACTTCTCCACCGTGCTCGGGATATGTTGCGGTCGTCCATCATTGTCGAAGTCCAACATCTGTCCAGAGGCCACGACTGCACAGGCTGCATGCATATCTGCCGGATTTACGGTGAAGAACAGCGGGGGCCAGCCAATGGTGAGGGCGGCTGCACGCATCTTGGATCGGGCACCGTTGTAATACACGTCTGTGAGGTCGAGGCGCAGAGTACTGAGGCGGGCCCCCTCCACCAGCGCCTTAACCAGCGGCGACTGCTGTGCAAGCAGCTGCCGCCGCTGTGAGTGCCGATATGGCAGTGCCAGTATGGTGCCCATAGCACGGATGACATCATGCGGCACACGTGCTGCTGGTTCGCCAAGATGCGGCCGCATGTTCATGGTAATGCCCACTTGCGCCATGCTTTCGTGGCGCACGCAGATGTCGTACATGCGTGCCAGCAGCATGAGATTGCCGCCGAATTGCGTCCGTGGCACGCGGTGCAGCAGGTGGCGACAATACGCCGGAAAAGACATGCCGCGGGGGTGCTGACCAGAAAAGCCGTACGGGAAGGACTGGGGGAAGCAGAGGGTGAGGATGGCGGGATGACGGTCATCCAGCACGTGGCTGTCACGGCCACCAGCCGCAAATGCAAGCCGTGCACGGCCAGTCAGAAGGTCCTCCACTCGGCCCGGGAAGCGGTCGATTTCGCTGCCATCATCGCCAACATTCGACGGCTGTGGCAGGATCAGCTCCAGCTCGTCCAGAGTGGCAGCTGCCGGATCGACTGCATAAGCAGACAACAGATGCGCAAGAGCTGGGTCAGGATGCAATCCACGCTGATAGCATGGTGCAGCAACGGCAGTAAATGCAGCATGGTGTGTGCATAGGCCGGACAAAAGCGAAATCGAAGCGTCTCGAACGCGTTACAAACAAGCGAAGATGCGTTAGCCCTATGCTCAGCCAAGCAAGAGAATGCACGCACCTGGTGCACCTTCAACTGGCTGGTCGACAGGTCCACGCAGGATGGCGGTGAATGGCCCCGGTCCAGGGTCTTGCCCTGCACTCAATAACACACACGGGGGAGTAGTAGAACACATCACCAGCGGGACACACGAGTGTGCTGCAAGAGTCCAGCCTATCCGGCAGGTCAGGCTGTGCATCGAGATTAGTTAGCACAAGAGGAGCATTCTCTCGATGCACGGGACAGTGGCGGTAGCGGCTGTCCGGTGCAGGAGGTGCAGTGTGAGGGCAACACGAAAGCAGAGAGTACACAACAGATCGCACGAAGCACAGTAACAAAATAACACACCTGCATTCGGGGTCGGATCCGCCAGTGTTGGCTGCACCGGTCCTGCAGGATCCACGTCAGGTGCCGCAGTTGCATCGGCAAGTTGCCCTGCACTCAATAACATACACGGGGGAGTAGTATAACACATCACCAGCGGGACAGGCGAGTGCGCTGCAAGAGTCCAGCCTATTCGGCAGGTCAGGCTGTGCATCGAGATTCGTCAGCACAAGAGGAGCATTCTTTCGATGCACGGGACAGTTGCGGTAGCGGCGGTGCAGGAGGTGCAGTGCGAGGGCAACACGAAAGCAGAGAGTACACAACAGATCGCATGAAGCACAGTAACAAAATAACACACCTGCATTCGGGGTCGGATCCGCCAGCGTTGGCTGCACCGGTCCTACAGGATCCACGTCAGGTACCGCAGTTGCATCGGCAAGATTGCCATCATGAACAGCCGCTTCCACCACGTCCTGGAACTGCCGCACACCTGCCGCACCCGTGCGATCGTGCAGGAAGGTGGTGCGGAGAACGTTCGCCACCTCCGGATCAGTCGGCGCAAGGGCGGCGTGCAAGATTTCGTCCGGCACACCTGCAGCACAGCCCATGCGTTCGTACTCCTGCAGAGCATCCTCATCAACAGCCAGCTCCTCCTCGTCGTTGTGCTGCAAGAACCGGACCCAGGCGACGATGACCTGTCCTCGCACCTGTAGACCTGGCGCCTTTCGCACACGTTCCAGCAGCTCCGCCCGGTTGCGAACCTGGTCGACACACACAACCGTGATAGCGCCAGCCAGGTCGGACGCCCGCGCCGGCAGCTGTGCTCGCAGCATATTCGGGTCAGGATTTACGACCCCAATGCCGTGAGTCTTTACAGCACGCGGGAAGACGTCTGGCGGTCGGTCTGCCAGGTACATGATGAGCAACTGCTGGACGATGCGGCCGCGGCCCAGAAGCTGCCCCTCCAGGAAAGTGGGCGACGGCAGAGGGTCACCCAGATGGTTGACGCGCGGCACATCGCCAGGGTCCAGACGCGCCAGTGCAGCTTCGGGAACTCGGCGGGCTGTAGGAGGGGGGCAAGCACGGGCAAGTAGGTCCGAAACGACTAGGGAATCAGTAGGAAAGCGGGCAGCAAAGGCAGGAGAGGCAAGCACATGCTGCAGATGAATGGAGCAGAACAGACGCAGGCAGAATGTGCCGCACTGAGTTATACCTCATAGACACGACGAACAGCATGCAGCACAAACTGACTTACCACTCAAGGCCTTGTGGCAGGCGTTGCATATGAATATGCGTTCTGCAACACCGTCGCCGACCAGCATAGTGCGGTTGGGCAGATCCGGCTCTAACCGCATGCAGTATGGCACCTCCACACTAGCTGGGTCGTCAAGGCAGGCTCTGGGCAGCACTCGCGGAGGACGCGGCTGTTGGTCCAGCGGAAGTTGCTCGGGCGGCTCCTGCCCAGCCGCCGCTGCCTCTAAATCACCAGTCTCCGGAGCATCACCACCCATCTCCAATGCCCCTTCCGCTGCATCATCCACCAGCCTGCCTGCTCCACTAGCACTGCCGCCGTCCTCATCCACAGCACCAGCCCGCTCAGCCCGGCTAACACGATACCGAGCTGGCAGGACCGGATCAGGTGGCGGTGGTGCATCTCCCTGAGCTGTACGCGCCATCCGCCGCCACACCAGAGTACGCCCCCAGCGCTGCACAGCGTCAGTACACATGACGTCTGCACGTAGAATGTCGACGTT